GGGATACACTCAATATGGTACTTATAACCCTTTTTATACACAGGCAGTGAAAGTGTAATAATTAAAGCTGTGCATCTTTACAAACGGAGGTCTTCCTGTTTTTCTTCTCACAGGTGTTTCTATGCGTTGTGTGAAGGAAGAGCACACAGCCATCAACATGAACCTTCATTATCTGGAAAACGGGACTGTGATGCTGAACTTCATTTATCAGAAAGAGCTGTTCTTCCTCCCGCTAGGCTTCGCACTCAAGGTAGTGATCACTGTGTGTTTTAGAAGTATGAAGCAGCCATTATTAAGTAGGGCTGTAAACTCCTATATCAGCAGTTCTTGTGGTGGAAATTTGGCTACGTGAGTCTCACGTTTTAACGCCTTTCTTTGTCGTCTGTGTTGTGAAGACATCAGATTTCCACACGGTCAGAGAAAGTGTGCGTCCTGCTCATATCTCCGTTATAAAATATAAATTCAGTCACGCTGCCCTCTGTTAACTATGACTTTTCTCCTCTTAAATCACAGTTAGTTTTGTAGTTTATGGTCATTTTGAAACTGGGTTTGTTGCTCTGTGTACAATGACGCAGCTAAAAAACAAAAGTGCAGAGATTCGACAAAATGCGAGTTGATTCTGGGTCTTCTCAACAGATGACTCAAATAATCAACGTATTAAGAACAGCTGTATTGTTAGGTGAAGAGAGATAAATATAATATAATGTGTAATTGATTAATTTCTGTCTGTGCTATCCTCCAGGCTTTGGTGGACTTCACAGACTTCCAGATCTACCAGGAGCTGATCAAGGGCCGAGAGGACAATTCCTTCTACAAGAGCTGTGTGTCAGAGATGCTGCGCATTGTCATGGAGGAGGGCTGCACCACCCGCAGCAAGGTGCTCAATTACCTCGGAGAGCGCTTCAGGGTCAAGATGAACCTTCCTGAGTGGTACACGAACGAGCAGTGTGCCAACTTCCTGCTAGAGTAAGCCTTCAGTAATCAACAGCCGACAGAAACAACAGTATATTGTGTTTTTTGTGCATTTAGTGAAATGAGTTTTGTTTCTGTTTTGACCAGCGAGTGCATCTGCATCCACCTGAAGTCGGACGTGGAGAAGTTCTACCTGCTGTGTCTGATGACCAGGAAGTTGTTCACGTTTGCCAAGCAGGAGTGTATGGAGGAAAACCCCGACAGCATCATGTGTCAGGAAGTGCTCACTCCCGGTCAGCTCTACCTCATGTTTCTGAAGGTGAGGTTGTTAAGTCATTGAGCACCGAGTGATGTAAAGTGCTTTTTGTTGGCGATGAAGGGAAGGAACTGCAGTATGTAGACACCATTGTGTTTGGTCCCATATAATAAATAATACAACATTAATCACACACATATATCATGGATGGCTTGCAGTGACAGGGTTGTGCGGTTTGGGGGTCGCCCCCTTAAGAAATGTTGATATTATTTAAAAGCTGTGCATTTTCACATGATTTTATACTATTATCATTACAATATTTTATTTAAAAACTGTCCCGAGCTGTATTGGTATATTTGAAATATATCTTAATATTGTTTCTAGAGCAGCAACAGCAAAGTCACCATATCAACTCACTGGAAACAAATCTCAGATATCAGTAAAATAAATAATATTCCTCACATCAATCACATAGACATCAGTCAGCATTAGTCTTTCCTTCTGTCCTGTCAGATTTATTAGTAATAAATCAAACTACATACAGACAGCTTTTCTTTTAGCTTGTTCCTAACTCACTAGTAGATTAACAATAACTACAGATTAACAGGTGGAAACATTGCTTTTCTACTCTGCTCTCTCTCAAGAATAAGAACATAGAAAGAGCCAATGTTCTCGCTGATGGTCTTGTTTTGTTTGTGTAGGTCATATTGAAGCACCAGTAATAAATTGGTTTCATAACCAGTTTAAAACCTCCTTGTAGTACGTTTTAAAGTTATGGATTTAACCTCTACAATATTGCCAACAGGAAAGACTGACTGCCTGGTTGGTGTCTGTGAAACTGTCCTTTGACAAGAAAGCCAGCAAACTGACTGGAGCCTGGACCGCTGAAAACATTATGAAGATGTTCAACATGGGCACTGACCTGACCAGACCCTTCGAGTATCTGCTGGCCACTGGGAACCTCAACTCCAAGACAGGTTAGGTCCATATGTGTCAAGTATGAGCGCATGCAACGTTATAAAAATGAAGTTCCTCTGTTAAATAGACGTTGTCCCCCCCCCTCCGTACACAGGTCTTGGCATGCTGCAGAACACAGGCCTGTGTGTGGTGGCTGACAAGCTCAACTTCATCCGCTACCTGTCTCACTTCCGCTGTGTGCACAGAGGGGCGGCGTTCGCCAAGATGAGGACCACCTCTGTTCGTAAGCTGCTGCCAGAGTCCTGGGGCTTCCTGTGTCCCGTCCACACTCCCGATGGAGAGCCCTGTGGACTCATGAACCACATGACAGCCAGCTGTGAGATTGTGGCACCAACCTTGCCCACCATATCGCTGCCTGCTCTGTTCTGCTCCCTTGGTGAGTCGACACAACTTAAGACACTACGTTAAAAGGTCCAGTTTGTCACATTTAGGAGGAGCTTTTGGTAGAAATTGAACTGAACTCAAATGGTTACAATCTGCATCTTCACAGCTAGACTCCACTCAAACCTACACACTGGTCCTTTAAAGTCCTAATGTCAGAGCAGTAAACAACTCTTTTCTCTCTCTGCCTCAGGTGTTACTCCAGTGGATGGATCTCCTGGCCAAGCCCTTTCTGACTGCTACCCCGTGGTCCTTGATGGGGCCGTCGTAGGCTGGGTGGAGAATGAATTAGCCCCAGTCGTGGTTGACTCACTGCGCAGGTTCAAGGTACGTCAACTGTGTAAGATATAAAAGGTCAACTGGTGCATTATTTGTGCAGAAAACTGATATTTAAAACAAATAACCTGCAGGTGCTGAAAGAGAAGAAGATCCCTCCCTGGACTGAGATTGTTCTGGTTCCAAAAACAGGCAAGGCCAGCTTGTACCCGGGCCTGTTCCTCTTCACAACACCCTGCCGTATGGTGCGGCCTGTACAAAACTTAGCTCTTGGGAAGCAAGAGTTGATTGGCACCTTTGAACAAGTACGTGTAAACTACAACACCTGAATACTGCAAAGGTGGATCTGTTTCGGTTGCTGAAATGTTTATTTAATCCTCTTTTTCTATCGTGCTCTAGCTTTACATCAATGTGGGCATCTTGGAGGATGAGATCGAGCCAGGAGTGACCACGCACCAGGAGCTCTTCCCTCACAGTATGCTCAGCGTGGTGGCTAACTTCATCCCCTACTCAGACCACAACCAGAGTCCCAGGAACATGTACCAGTGTCAGATGGGTCAGTCCCAATCCTTTCAGTGCCATTTTTAGCTGCTGTGAAGTCTTGTAGAGTCATCAACCAAAGTTTAAACTCATTATATTTCCAGGTAAGCAGACTATGGGTTTCCCCCTGCACTCATTCATGGATCGCTCGGATAACAAGCTGTACCGGCTCCAGACCCCTCAGAGCCCGCTGGTCAGGCCCTACATGTACGACCACTACAACCTGGACAACTACCCCAGCGGCACCAACGCCATCGTGGCCGTCATATCCTACACAGGCTACGACATGGAAGATGCCATGGTGGGTAAAACACAATAGTTGCTGTAATTTTGTCCCCCTGGTGGAAATGGAGGGAAATCCTGACACAGTTTTATCTCATTAGATTGTGAACAAGTCGTCGTGGGAGAGAGGCTTCGCCCATGGAAGCATCTACAAGACTGAGCTGGTGGACCTGGCAGACAAGGTGAGGGGAGAAGACAACGTGGTGTTTGGGGCCAAGCCAGGTGACCCTAAAGTGAGTGAGAAACTGGACGCTGATGGGCTGCCACACATCGGATCAACACTTCAGTATGGAGACCCCTTCTACAGCTACATCAACCTCAACACCGGCCAGACCTTCGTCAACTTCTACAAGTAAGTTTTTAAATCTTGATAAATCCTACAGTGTATTTAATATTTACCTTTTTAAGTCACAGTTGGTGACGCATTCTCCTCCTGTTTTCTCTCTCAGGAGCCAAGAGTCCTGTGTGGTTGACAACATAAAGGTCTGCAGCAACGACAACGGCTCAGGACGTTTTAAACGCGTCTGCATCACTGTACGAGTGCCCCGAAACCCCACGATTGGTGACAAGTTCGCCAGCCGCCACGGTCAGAAGGGCATCCTGAGCCGCCTGTGGCCGGCCGAGGACATGCCCTTCACAGAGAGCGGCATGAGCCCCGACATCCTGTTCAACCCCCACGGCTTCCCCTCCCGCATGACCATCGGGATGCTGATCGAAAGCATGGCCGGCAAGTCCGGCGCCCTGCACGGCCTGAGCCACGACGCCACGCCCTTCACCTTCTCCGAGGAGAGCTCTGCGCTCGAGTACTTTGGCGAGATGCTCCGGGCGGGCGGGTACAACTACTACGGCACGGAGCGGCTCTACAGCGGAGTGAGCGGTCAGGAGCTGGAGGCCGACATCTTCATCGGCGTCGTCTACTACCAGCGGCTGCGTCACATGGTCTCCGACAAGTTTCAGGTGAGGACGACGGGAGCGCGAGACAAGGTGACCAACCAGCCAGTGGGAGGGAGGAACATCCAGGGAGGCATCCGTTTCGGGGAGATGGAGCGCGACGCCCTGCTGGCACACGGCTCCTCTTTCCTGCTTCACGATCGCCTCTTCAACTGCTCGGACCGATCGGTGGCTCAGGTGTGCGTCGACTGCGGCAGCCTGCTCTCCCCGCTGTTAGAGAAACCGCCGCCCTACTGGTCGGCCATGCGCCACCGCAAGACAGTCTGCACCCTGTGTGGTAAAAGTGACTCCATCGACTCCGTGTCGGTTCCTTACGTCTTCCGCTACTTTGTGGCCGAGCTCGCGGCGATGAACATTAAAGTGAAATTAGATGTTAAATGAGCTCTGCGGGACAACCAGTGAAGATACAAATCAAAAGAAAGTCTAGTGTGGAAATGCTCTTTGTGTTTTAATGCTGCTAGAATTAACAGAAAATATATTAAAAACAACGAATTGTAAAGCGATGATGTGTCAGAATAACCAGGCGCCTGAGAAGTTTATGAGCTAGGACTTTGAGAAAATAACCAAGCAGCAGTATGTGAATAACCCAAAGTTCTTTCTGTACAGTAATTCTGAGCATTGAATAAACATTTAGTTCTGTACCAGGAATTCAGATGATTTACTTAAGTAGAAACTCCATTAGTCCTACTTTAAAATCATATTCAAGTAAAAGAACAGAAGTCATCCAAAAGTACTCATTCTGCAGGAAAATGGCACATTACTGATCCATTACATTAGTTTGTTGATGCATTAAGGCATAAATATAATTTTAGTGTTGTAGCTACGACATTAAAATGGTTGCGAAGCTGGTTTTAATTTCTTTACATGTCATGTTTCAAAAGGTTGAGAAACACTGATTTAATTCATTAATTTAAAAGTGTATCTCATGTGTTCTTCATCTGAAGAGTACATTTGATAAATTTAGTGGAGTAAAAACAACAGTGCTTCCCCTCTGAAATGTAAAAGTATAAAGAAATTTCAAGTAAAGTACAGTTAACATATAAAGAGATGATTTTGGCTTCACTTTTGGAGGGCGGTAATGTTTGTCAGTGTGTAAAATCTTTAGCAAAATGCATAAAACAAGTAAAAAGAACCCTTGTTGACAGGTTGGAAAGGATCCTGACATTCACCTTTTAAACAAATCCATAATTAACAGTGACAGTCCTCCTCAATCAGCAGTTATTATAGCTGTGCCAGAACATCTGGCAGCAGCAGCACAGTGGGGATGGTGTAGTCTGGTTTCACTGAGCCATCTGGCACGGCGCCGCCTGCGCTGCTGATCCAAACTGTCGCCCGCACTCTGGCGTCAAAGCCCCCCTGAATATCTGTATCCAGAGAGTCTCCCACCATCACGCAGTCCCGGGCCTCCACCTCCAGCTTGTCGAAACACAACCTGAAGATGGAGACGAACGGTTTCTGCTCGGCGTGTTCGCCCCCGACCACGACGGCGTCGAAGAGCTCCTCGCACCCGACCGCCTCCACCTTCTCTCTCTGGGTCTGAGCTTCGCCGTTGGTCAGCAGCAGCAGCTTGTATCGTCTGCGCAGGTCTTTCAGGAGGGAGCACGTTTCAGGGGACAGGCTGAGGACCTCCAGGCGGCTCTTCTTCCAGAGGTCGTAGCACTCAGCTGCCAGAGAGGGTGAGGAACAGCTGCCCGCCGCCTCCCGGATGCTCTCCTCCCAGTGGCCCACGCGGACCTCATCGATGGATCTGCCGGCGGACGGGTCGAAGCTCTCGCGCAGAAGCTTCTGCTTGAACTTGTCGCAAATGCTGCCGGCGGTCACGTCATCGAGGTTCAGTGTGGTCTTCAGAAGCTCCCTGGTCTGTTGAGAGTCAAACATAGAGAGATAAACCCGTAAAAATATAACAAACTTGAGATCGTTTGTGAAATATAAAAGTCGTAGGTACTTATTTTACGGGATGTGAAGGTTATAGCGACCTGTTGCTGCGTGTTAATATCATTTTAGATCAAAATCAGGCATTTAAATCACATTTAATTAAAGAATAAAATGTACTACACATCAATATGTATATTTTCTGACTGCATATTTTACAATAAATGAAATGGAATAACAATAACAGGAGGATCTTTACTCACAGGTATGTTTTCATTAGTGTTTAATCACCTGAATAAAGGGATTGTTGTGTTTTTGTTCCCTTAAAATTAGACGTTTTTTTTTTTATCTACAGTTGAACCACCGTGTTTCTACAGTAGCCCAGAATGGACAAACCAAACACTGGATCCATTCACTCTTCTCATTCCCAGGTTGTCAAATACAGACGCGAGCTGTATTCAGTTAGTTGAGATCTGCAACTTCACCGCTAGATGGCACTAAATCCTAATGCAAACTGTCGCATGTTACAATATTTGCTTGAAAAAGCCTCAAAATGAAGACATTTAAAGTCAAAAACATTGTTGTGGCACATTAGTGAAGCAGTGAAATAGAAGCATCTACTTTAAGTAAGTAACTTTAATCACAGAACATTAATTTAACTGTTCTTTTAACTCTAAATTAATATAAATTAACGTGTTAAATTGGATTATGTTTTTAGTGGGGCAGCTGCCACCCAATGCCACCACTCTCTCTCCGCCCCTGACATTAACACACTATTATAGAAAACAAATAAAACTCTTCAATAAAAGTGGACAAACAGTATTTTCAGGTACACATTAAATGCCACAGAAACATCCGGGTCTCAGTGACCGATCACCTGTAGTTCATTGATCACTTCCGATAGGTTGACGGTACCAATACAGAACCTATAATCACCTTCTGTATCGCCACTTCACCGGCTCGACTCGTTTCAATCAGCGTGTTGTCCAAATCAAACAATATTGCCTTCACAGATCGATCCATTGCCGGAACACGTTGCTCATTCCTCGTTTACACCTGAATCCGGCTTCAATTGCGGAAGTACTACCGGGGTGAGGTGCATTATGGGAGATGTAGTTGTGACAAATTCAGTAGTTTATTACAGTGCTTGCAGGTTTCATCCTCTAGAGAGCGCCAATTAATAAAAATAGAGTTTGATTTTTTTGCGCGACGATCTCTCCACCCTGAGTTCAGCAGCTTTAGTTATAATTAATAATTAAAATAAATCAGATTTAAACCTTTTGTGCGTCATTTAAATGGACATAAGTTATTTTTCCTAACATTTTTTTAATGAATATGTATTAATTTGTCACAATGTTTGACATGATATACGTGTATGTATTAGTGAAAACTCAAAATCAGACTCATAAATTAGTACAAATTTTACGGTTTTAATTAAAAAAAAAAAAAAAACTAAACTGACTGTAGATTTTCCACCACATGTTATTGATTTATTATATAGGCTATATTTAAATAAATAATAAGAAAGTACAATAAAATAATCTATTATCTCCTCTTTTATTACCTGTATGTTTATCATTGTTTGGTCCTTACCTGCGTCTGTGCTGTGTTTTGTTTTATCAGCACTGACATAAACTTCTACTGTAAGCTTTATAAGAATGATTGTTTACATTGTTTATGTGGACAAATCTAATTAAAACAACTCTTATAAGCAGAAATGCCTGAAAATGGATCCGTTCGCCTTATTTGACGCCTGCGTTTCAGATGCCATTTTCCATTATGGACAAGTTCTCCATTTGTAGTGTGACTCAACTGGGCCTTCTTATATTACACTGCGAAATTATTTTCAGAAAGGTGACGATAACAATCAGTGTCACGACATGTCTAATTTAATGTCCTACGTGACTCTTGACCATGCATATTGCCAATTTAAACACATATTCCGTGACACGCACTCTTCCAACATCAAAACATACCATAATTCTTATGCAACCTGTCCTCAAAACTCGCTCTCTCATCTGGCAAAGGCCCAGAGGTTCACACGCAACAGTGTGCAGGCCTGTTGCACCACCAAACCTGATCAGAAATCACAACAACACCACCTGAGAGTGTGTTCTGGTTGCAGCTGCAAGGTGCTTTGTGTCTTTGAGAGAAAACCCTGACCTAATTATTCCAATTACCTTTATAAAATAAATAAAAAATAAATGCCGCATAAACTATAAATCAAGAAATTGTGTGAGAGGACAAACCTGCTTATTATCTATCAGAACAAACAACACCTGCCGCTTGCATGCGAAGCAGGAATATGGTTGTTTAAATGACAGAACTCAAAACCTTTTTTTTTAATTGCTCTAATTAACCTTAAAACGGAAAAAAAATAGACACATAAACAGTGAATGTAGGTTGAACTTACAAGTGTAAAGGTGGAATTTCCCCCTCTCATGTGAAGGGTGGAGGTTGTGTATGTGTGTGTGTGGGGAGGGGGGGTGGAGGAGAAAATGACTTCCCTATATCAGCCCGTGTGTGACTCTTTCAAGAAAGTGCAAAGCATCTGAAGGACCGGTGAGGCCCGGTGTGTCTCCGTCTGCACGACATCATTCCTCTTTTATCTGTGTGGGTGGCCGAAGGCTGCAGTCACACGCTACCCTCCACCCCCAACAGAGGCCAATTATTAAGGGTGTCATTCCACCGACACCTTGTAGCCTCTCGAAGATGCCTTTATTTCGTTATTTAGTTAAAACACTCGTTATGTTCCTGTGACCCTGCTTTGGTTCTTTATAACTGGAGCAGGTTTGTAATGTTTGGGTTCCTCTGTGGGTGTCTGAGCATACAAAGGGGGGGGGATAATGTCCTGAACTGAGAACCTCTTTTCTATCATTGAGGTAAAGGGACGATCGCTGTAGTGGCATGTTTTATGTATATTTCATATTATATTCAGTGCATAATAATAACAGTACAGAACTGCAGATAAACTGTACAATGAACCCAAACAGTGAACACAATAACAGCAGAATATTGATCAGAGAGGAGTTTTTGTGATATTTTTTGGAACTTTTTATACAATTCTTTGCCTGTATATGTTATTTTATTTTATTTTTTAAACAATTACACAGACTTTCAAATTCAGCATTTTCTTCTTCTTATTCTGTTAATTTGTTGTTTGTTTCCTCACTGAAACTGTTTACTCTGAGTTGTATTGTTCACAAAAACACATATTACTGTATGTATTGTGTGTGTGTGTGTGTGTGTGTGTGTGTGTGTGTGTGTGTGGGTGTTTTAATGTGTGAAGCACTTTGTGTTACATTTTGCTTGTATGAAAAGTGCAATACAAATAAAGTCTGATTGATTGATTGATTAATAATGCATAGTTTGTGTTCAGGTCTTTAAAGATTACATCTTAAAAGTATTAAACTTTAAAAATAACAAGTTTTCCTCACAGAAATGAACTAAATACTAATATAAAGACCTACTGTGTATATATTTAACGTTTTCTTACATCCCTTACAATCAAGAAGGCCTTGCGACCCCCCCTGTTAATCTTGTGCGACCCCTGGTGGGGGTCCCGGCCTCAGGCTGGGAACCACCACTTCTCTGTGCGACACCAGAGATGTGTAATCAAGATCTGATGATTCCCTCACACATACACAGCTCCGGTGAGGGAGACACCACGTTCATTATCTCCGATCATTAAGCCGCTCCAGAAATATCGAACATTGTTCAGATCTGTGAGATTTGGATCAAAAATGGCTCCAATGTTGCTGCGATAGAACGTCCTTTCTTTGTCAGGTGCTCCCATCAGGCCTTGCCTCTGATATGGAGACAAATGCACACGTAGATGTGAGATTTTATCGAGGCCGGGGGAATGTATGAACTACAGTCTAAATAGAGAAACACTGGTGTGCCTAATGGCACTTGTCATGGTAACAAAGGGAGTCTGGCAACCTGCACGTACACACAAACAAAAACATCTCGATCTGGGGCAGGATGGTGCCTCTTCAGGCGGTTATGCAACGTTCTCCATGATCAAGGAGCGATATGCTTTTCTGCAAAGCTTATGTAAATTGTGTGTTAGGGGCCCCTGCAGCAGCCTCCCACCCAGAGACATCAGTATCATTATCAGATCATAAGCAGTGTCTGAGCTGGACCAATACCCCAATTCACCTCAACCATAATTCGGTTGGTGTGTGTTTTCTATCCATTTGAACATTTAAAGTGCTGTCTCTTTTAGGAGAACCTCGTGAGCATTGCTGTACGTAGAGGAATACAGAGAAAGACTGAACTTGCTATGAGAGGTTTGGAGAGACGTCAAAGCATCTGTCTGTGGGTACGACTGAGCTCACCAGAGGTTGTGGTATAAATAAGAATAAAAGGTACTTATATGGACAAGAATCAAGTATTTTGACAACATAAATTGACCATTTTCTCTCTTGCTTTTGTGGACATTTTGCATCATTGGTGTTGTAGTGAGTGTTTCCTATGAAAAGACAGGACCTCCCATAGTCGTCTGGCAGGTTGCCAGGACTTCCAGTAGTGTGTGTGTGTGTGTGTGTGTGTGTGTGTGTGTGTGTGTGTGTGTGTGTGTGTGTGCTGATACACCTGAGTTCTCCTGACCGGCCATTGAACCAGCGCAGCAGCATGGAGGGACTATGTGTGGTCACGGGAGTATAGCACTAACAGCCCGGACCCTGGAAGATCCTCCAATCCTAATCCAGTTCTGGTTGGGACACAGACAGCGAAGGAGAATTTAAAGGTCCAGTGTGAAACATTTATTGGGCTCTATTGGGCAGAAATGTAATATAATAATCATAGGTATATTTTTATTAGCGTATAATCACCTTAATATTGGAATCATTGTGTTTTTGTTACCTTAGAATGAGACGTTTTTATCTACAGATGCCGCCGGTCTCCATGTTGAAGGCTGTAGATAAGGCCTCTTGAGAGTTTTGCAGCCACTTCACAGCCTGTTCTCATTCCCAGGTCGTCAAATACAGACGCGAGTGGTGTTCAGTTGGTTGGCAATCTGCAACTTCACCTCTAGATGCCACTAAATCCTACAGACTGGTCCTTAAAGAGACAGATTTAATTGGTCAAATTCACCCCTGAGACCTTTATTGCATCTCACACTTCTTTCTAACCTGCCCCTCCACTTTGTTTCAGGGTTATTTTTCCAAACATTAGACAGATCCATCCGAAGTCGGAGCAGTAAAAACTTTGGATCACTAGACAAAAAGCTGAGTGTAAGAGTGAGTTAAATGTAAATACAAATGAAAAACACATGAAAAGACGGAAACTGAACAAGTTTGCGGTAAAACTGTCTGAAAATGTCTTTGTGGCTTAAAAAAGACCAAATAATAAAAGTATAAAATAATGTTTATTTATGTTGTATAAATAATTTAGTTTTAGTAAGTAAAACTGTCAGTATTTCTGTAAAATAAAATAGTAAGAGTATAATTTATTGCTGTTTTTAGTAGAATGGAAACAATGACAGTTGTTTTTCTTGTATAATTTATTGATCGCCTCGTGCTGCAGCAGTTTCCAACCAATAAATAAGAAATCATGCCCGTAATGCTTCACCTGAAACTACTGTTGACTCCCAAAACTGATATCTCATGATCGCTCCCCGTCATGGTAACTCCAGTTTCTGCTTTAGCGGGAAATAAATGAGGATGTTAAAAGGAACGTACAAACTGCTGTGTAACTGTGACTTTAAGTAAATTCTCATTTCTGTGGCAACAATCTGAACAGTTCTCTGGCACGTCTCCGCTGGCACGTCACTGATGCTAATTATAATGTCACATTTTTACAAGAGAGGTACGTACTGTAAACAACCTAAGTAAAGTGTGATCTGACAGAAATGTCTGCTAAAGATACAATAAATTACTATTAAAAAAATACTATATAAATGACGAGGATTTTGCCCTTTCTTTTGTCATTATTGTCTGTAAAAGTGAGTTTTAAAAGCCAGAAATCTTAACTCAACTCAACTTTATTTCTTCATATAAACAAGGTAATACAAAAAGAAACAATAAAATGTAAAACATCCAAAAACAAAAAGTCAAATAATGTAAAAAATCATGATTAAAACCTAAAAACA